GAAATTATGATATGTACTAAAATTAAGGTAACATTTTGAAAATTTTGTTATTTGCTTCACAGAATTTAATAGGCAACGACATCCTGTCCGTAAGAATTTATTAATAATCTTAGGAAACTATAGAAAAGTGTTTTTTTCCTTGATCTTCTTTTGCTTGGCTAGAATATTTGTGACTAACATTTCTGGCTTCTCATATTTAAATTTAATAAGACATGTTCATAATGTTTCTTAAGCAGGCAAAATTCTCATTCAGTTTCAGCTGAATAAGGACTTTGGGGTTTCAACTGTGGTCAGGAGGAAAGCTAACTATTATGATGTCTGTGTACTTAAAATGCCATTTCTCGTGTATTAAAAAAATCATTTTTAGGAGTAGAGTGGATTTGTTCATGCATTATAAAATAATCCCTGAAGAGAGTGAAGTGTGAGAACAAGAACTCTGCCCTAGTCCTGCTGATGTTGGCAGACTCTTCCTTCTCCCTGTGACATACCCATAAGGACTCATACCATTCGTTTTGTACCACTGCTGTTCAGATAATAGCAAAATAAAAAGAAAAAAAAACCACCCAAAAAACTAAAGGATGCTTAAAATGTCTTCCATACTGAAGCAAATGCATACTTCTCCTCCTCAGGAAATACATGAATAAATGTAACTCTTTAAAATGGATAAAGCACACGAAGCACCATCTGTCAATCTTAAGAACAAAACAACGACACACACACACACTCATGCCCCCCCCCCCCCCCGCCAATGGACTGCCAGAAGGGCTGCAGTTCGGAGGCACTGTTCCCTCTAGATTGGCGTCCAGCAGCGGCATCCTTACCTTCGGTGGGAATTCCTGTTGCTATTTACGTGGCCCCGGCCTGTGCAGCCTGGTGTAGGACACTTAAGAACATTTTCATGCATGGCAAGAACTTGACAAGGAGAGTAAGAGAAAACAGCAGAGTATGAAAACAAGAAAAAAAAAATCAAATCCCAGTATATATGAAACCATTTTAAAACAAAGCAGGATTCATTAACAACCAGCATTCCTCAAAATACACGTGACACACATAGCCAATAAAGCCTGATGAGGGAAGTAAGTATCGTGACCCTATACTCATTAACACAGGGCAACAGTGAAAGTTATGAAGGTTACAGAACCTATAAACAAATACATCTCTGGTGCAACAGTGAAGCAGAAGACTTCCAACATCATCTTCATACAAAAACACTGAGCAAAGATCAGCTCAACAGTGAAGTGTGAGCTAGCAATGGTCTGATACAAAATTACAAACTAGAAAAAGTCTTTCAGAAAATGTATGCATTCATAATGCATAGCTTCATACACACAGTATCAAGCTTGAGAGCTGAAAATCCGCTCTCAAGTTATACTGGTAGAACACTGAATTATTTGAAACACGCCTCAGTACAACCCTAAACAGAATTTAACCCTAACTATAAGACAGCCCAATTGAGCTAGTGGCCAGTACTGCTCACTTCCACATAGATATATCATTCATATCTATATGATGAGCAGAATTGGTCCTTTAATTTTTACTTGTATTCTCTACAGATGTGAAAATTGCAATGGATAGGTTTTTTTTCAAAAGCCTAAAAACTAAAAGTAAGCACTTAATAATTGAGTGATGGTGGGGAAAAAAAAAAGAAAACTGTGTAAAAAAGAAATAAGTGGTACAAGCTTAAGCAAGTAAATTTATTTACATCTGCATCCATTGCAAGCTGGATGGAAAACTTCCTCCCATGGCTGCTCAGAGCAGTATTCCTCTAAATCATAAAGCTCATGCTATGAAGTGCCAAATTTTCAAGAACTTTTTTGGTAACACTGAAGAGTTTTGTATGATGTGAGACGTATCCGAATCCATGTCTTGGAGCTGCACGGCAGTGCACCACTCTATGGAAAAAAGCCATCCAGCCCTTGCAAAGTTCTGGTTTTCTCATGCAAGAACCAGTCTGGAAGCCTGTATTTAGTTCTCACTCAAAAAAAAAAATCTAACAAAATCAATTAATTCCTTGACAGAGTTAAGAACTGAATAAAAGCCATTCAGAGACTTGAGAATTTAACCATATATACTGATTAAAAGATAACCATCATCATCACCCCATCATCAGTGTACTAAAATGTGTATAGATGCAAAAGCTTTACTCTGAAATTCCTACTGTTCAAAGCTGGTCTTGAAACATGCTTCACAAGGCCAACATCACAGGAAAAAAAAAAGATGAGCTCACCTTTTTCATTTTAGTAGGTACAAGAGCATGCAAACAGTTTAAAGCTATATTCTTCTTTGATTTACAAAGTCTTCTAAAGAGCTTTTTATTTACCATTTGTAAAAATGAGACAACTTTGAGCAACTGAATAAATATCTCTGTTTCAGAAAATTACAGGGTCTTGCAAAGCAGAGAAATTACTCTATTTGTTCTACTGTGTTCAGAGATCAATCAAGCTATTGCAAAGTTTCCTAATGCACTTCCTCATCACTTTACTTCTGGAAGAAGCCTATCTATCATGAAAGAGGGGACTTCTTATATCTTGGTGTGCTAATCTACTTCTGCTTTCCTGTCCTTCAGAATCTACTTCACTTTGGAAGCTGGGGACCATTTTAGCCCTGATGTTCTTTACAACACTTCCTTTAGGCTGTTGCAAATCCATTGAGGTTAGGTCTGTAAGTGCTGATGTACAGTCGGGATTTTAGATCCATAGGCTTCAAGGGAGTGACTCTATTTTAAAATTAGTGTGAAAGAGCACTGGACCTTAGCTAGACATTTACATGGCATAAATCAGCATAGACCAATTAGCTTCAACAGAACTATGCTGATTCCACCAGCCAAGGAGGTGACTTCCAGAAATGGAGCCCTCTGCCTTCAGGTGAACAGCTGCGAGTTCACAGGAATGAACCTCCTTTGCAGAGAATATACTGACATGGCAGGAAATTCCACCCATGTGACTGACAGGGGAAGTTTGCTCAAAATCTTGAGTTGCGTAACTAAGTAAACAGGCAAATTGTTATTTTTAATAATATAAACTAGTTGAATATAACTTACGCTTCAGACACAACAACAACAAAGGAAAGGGGCTGCAAGATTTCCAAGTACAATTATTCCTGTACAAGACAAGAGGGACAGTTGATGTGACATCAGCACGCAGAAGTAAAAGCAGTGCACATCTTCTGGAAACCTTTTTCTTTGTTGACTGAATACATCTATTTAAAAATAACCTAGGATTCTTAAAAATCAAAGAATACAGCTTTAAAAGTTGTTCTTTTAGTGTAAAAGTTAGTAGAGAATGGAAATGATGGAATAAAGGAAAAAGTATAACACAGAACATTTGACTAAGTTGAGACAAACCATACTGAAAAATGAAATTAATTTTTTAAATAAAAGGTTTAAAAAGCATGCTAGAAAAATCTTTGTAGTTTTATCCCCACTTTCCATGAAACAATGTAAACTTACTTTCTGGAGGGACCCTATCTTTGTGTGGGCATCCTGACAAACTGCGGTGATGGGGGTAAAGCCCCGTTACATGGCCAGTTCCATCACACCCAGGGGTAGGACATTTGCTCTCTTTCTTTTCTGTTCTTGAGGGATCTATAATTTACAACAAATGTGTCAAGTGAATGATGCTTTTCACATTTCTGTAAGAAGGTTCATTTAATCATGTCATTTACTCTTTAGTAAATGTTCTTAGGAAAACTAGAAGAAAAAAAAACCCTTCTACTTCTTAACAAAGTTCTGTCACTTTTATCCCATTATCTTCTTTTCAGACTGCAGGCTTCTATGATCACAGCAATATCCATTCACAGTGATTGGAAAGTGACCTTTTTATAGCAAAGCCATACCACTGTCAATCAATGTTCTGCTGGCAAGCATCAGCTCAAGGGTGTAAGGTCACTTGGAAACTGTTTAGTTGGAGTTTCCATTCTTTAGATTCTTATTTGCCTGATATATTAAGGTCTGCACATGTACTGTCATAGAAGTTCAATGTCCAGAGAACAGCAAACCCAGCTCTTCAGCATAATGATTCAATGATTCAGCACAAATAAATCCTTTTTCCATGGCTCACTGAGGACACAACTCTTGTTTTCTTTAAATCCCATTTGAAGAGGTAAAAATTATGCAAATATTCCTCTACCTTCGATAAATTATGGTGGGGTAAACATTGTAACCAGAACTACAGAAAGTATCATTGGCTGTGTAAATCTGGGCCATTACAAACATGCATATATAATGCTTGAATATTCATATGCTTAAAAGGTTAATGATCTTCTTTCCTACAAATCAATGAAAGGTCTAAATAGACTTTTTTTTTTCAACAAAACAAAGTTTTCTGCCAATAATGTAGTGGAACTGATGGTGAGATTAATCCTGAACTAGAACTTTCTCATATACTTCATCAGCTTGTTTCCTTTAACAAAACATCCGTAAAATAACATCCCTACCCTTCCAGCTCAGCACATGATACAAATTACATCTTATCAACTTGCCCACAGTTGCTGTATTTCGGAGATTATTGCTCATTTTCATATTAGTGTTAAGGTAATAAAATTCAGGATACTCTAACTGCTAACATTTTGCATCAAGATCAACCAGCAAAGCCCTTCCATTTTTCTAGTCCTCCTTTCAATATCCAATCTGAGCTATCCTCATTTAATTATTTTATACTGTTCTTGTCGTTGCTTTGCTTCAGTATTTATGTTTTCATCTCTGGAAAACAAGATTTTGCTACTAGTCTTTCTTACATTAAATTCTGTTCCAGCTTCAACAAATGCAACATTCAGTACAATCAGTGGAAATTTCAGTACTTGCAGAACTTCACACACAACCAATTTTTTTCAGCATGAATCAATACAATCCAGAGCTCACATTAGTTGTAGACTTATTTTTCCTTGATTTCCCTCTGGTAACTTTTTAATATATCTATATGCTTTTACATTCCAAGTTCTTTCAAAACACCTTCATTTTACAGAAATTATTTAGCTCACGGTAATGACCCTCCACGTCTTATATTTTCATATGATATTTAAACCTTGTCTTTTGCAAATGGAATCCCTAATTATGAAAAGTTTTATTTTACTTAACCTGCATGTTGATTTTAGAGCACAGTTTTTAATTTCATGCTCTTTAATGATAAATATATATGCAAATCTATCTCCAAAGTGCTATATGGTTATCACAACACTCCCGGAAATACAGTAATCTTATACATCATGAAATTGAAACAAAGAGATCAAGAAGTTAAACCCAAGGCCACAGAAGGAGCAAATGTCAGAGTAGGGATTTGAATTCCTGCCAGATAGGCCTGTGCTGAGACCACTAGAACAGCAAGCCCACAGCTACATACATACACAACTCTAAGCAACTCTTCATGTCAAGTACTCTGGGATGTGTAAAAGTATTAGATAAGTGAATAAGTAATGTGAATGAAATACAAATTATGTAAATATAACAATATTCCAAGACTGTAAAAATGTAGATGATACAGACCATAATGGCTTTTTAGAGACTTTAAACTAGAGGAACTTTAGCTATGCCACATTCTCAGAACTCCACCAAAGACAACGAAAAGTATTCTAATTTAGAGCAGCCGAGGATCCGGACAATGACATTCTACAGTGTCAAGCAAATCCTCCTCTGTATTCAAGTCTATGCTATAAAGTTATAGCATGTACCAGATCTTTAAGAGCCTTTATGGTCTAATGAGTCAGAAAAGATGCTGTATACTATTCTTAATGATTTCAAAACTTGCATAAAATTGTACTTGCACAATTTCCCATTGCTTTTAATGGAAGACATTTGACTAAACTTTCCACAACTTTATACAAAACACTGGATACTCTTTTTATAATTAGGAGAAATATTGCAGAGTTTTATTTAATCCTGTAACCTTTCCTTGCTCCTTGCTACAATGGGAGCATCGCCTGAGTGAAGGTTGTCAGAGGACTCAAAAGTTTTTAAATTTCATAAATTTCAGAAGAAAGGCTGTTTAGAAAGCTTTAAATGGCAGGGAAAAATGGTTAGTGGTCCCTTAACAGTTGTTTCAGCAATCTCTGAAAGCAGAACTGAAGCCAGGAGGTATTTCTCACTTTAAACCTCTGCACCCAAAATGTTTCCATTTAACCATATCATACATCTCTGTGGGTATCTCTTCCAGCAGTATTTGGAAGATAATGTGTGAGTGGAGATCAAGTGATATAAGGGATTGTCTTACATAAAGCTTCCTCTCTCAAAAACTACCAGAATGTTATCTATGTTTTTTAAAGTAAGGAAGGATTAAGTTTTGGTTTTTTTCTTCCTTTATTCAAAAAGCATAGAACGATCCACTCTACAAAGTTTCTTGGTCCAAATTACCACAATATTTATTCACTGGCTGGGTTTGGACCTATTATCAATTCAGCCTGCAGCTCCCAAGAGACAAGATGTTTCAAAGAAGCTCTAGAAGTTACTGAAAAAGGAAGTCTGTATTTTTGTTACTGTCAGAAATTACAAGGCCTTTTTGCAGACAGCAAATCTATATGCATAAATGTTTTCCCAGGCATACATAGACTGGAAAGGCTGGACAATGCCAGTGTTAAAAAGTTCTTCAAAAATTAACATTGGTTTGCCATGCTTTCTGTGGTTTTATTAGAGATGTATATTCAAAGGGAAATGTAACTACAATAGCTCACATGCAAACAACATGTAGCACAACATCCACATGGCTATGCAGCAATACACTAACTAAATAAAGTTGTCTTCCCCAGACACCTGAGGTTCCTACAGAACTCACTGGACTACATTTTTGTGTTTAAAACAAACAAAGCTTCACTAAAATGCATTGCAGAAAAGTGTTTGACATCAGTAATTTCCATGCTCTTCCAGAAGACTTGTCATTACTTTTCTTATTAAAAAGATAAAAACCTTTCTTGGATCAAGATGTTGTCTGCCCACCTGAATGTCACAGGCAGATCTTAGGGTATTACTCTTTCAAAACAGGGATTTATAAAATGGAGAAAAATGCCCACCATCTCAGTTGTAGAAAGGAAAGAATATATTTTTAACAACAAATATAAAATGAACGCAGTCCCTGATTAGCATCTCCCAAGATCTACCACGTCCTCAACTTCCACTAAAGTCAATGGGAATCAAGGGTGTTCAGTGAGTCTCAGGAGGTATTGAACACATTATACAACACGGCCCTACATGTACAGATGTAGACAAGTTGAAGAAGGGTGTGGTAATATAAACACACCATCACCATGATAACCCCATAAATTAAAAGGTGTTCTAAAGGTAACCTTTAATCTGGTTTTGTTGTTTTTTTTTAATATTGAATTATGGTCAAGGCAGCACCTTAACTGTTTCCACAATGGAATGAAACCAGTGAAGTGGAATGCACATAAGAAAGAAATTGCTATTGATCTCAGCCCAGGCCACACCATGCCTTGCATAGCAAATGGCTTCCATTACCTTACTATCTTAAGATAATTAATGTGTAGTCACTGCCCCTATCTTATGTTATCGGTCATTCTGATACTGTTCAATTTCTATGAGGCAATTCTACATTTTAGATGGGAGAGGCTTCATCAATAACTGTCATTTGATGATAATTTTATAAATCATGATGCCACCTACGCAATCCAATCTGTAAAATATGCACTTCATAGCTGATTGACTACCTGCTACACAAAACCCCACTCTCTGATAGTTTGCAACGTAATGATCTTCATTGTTTTTTAATTATTACTGTAAAGTATATTAAAAACTTAAGAAAAATCTTTGCCTCTTTCAACATGATCTCTTATTTGTTTTGTTTCCCCGAAAAGTTATTCTTTTTAATTTCACCAAATGATATTCACTGAAATACTGTACATACTTCTAACACTGCAGAATGATTTTTTTTTTATTTTATATCCACAGCTTGATGCTATTTTACAATCATGCCATACTACTACAATTTAAATAAAGTTCCCATTTTATGTAATTAATAACTTCATTTCAGAGTTCTACGCAAAACTTAACACGTTAGCTCACACTTTCTCATGACATAACATACGGTATATAGAAATATTACCTTTACCATAATATGGCTTTTTGACATGGCCGTCACTGGGTTTAGGCTTCCTGTCATCTCCAGAAAGGTGTCTTGGAGACTGTTCCTCAAATGATCTCATATTATCCCTCCTTCCAGCTTCCACTGCCATTTTTTCTCTCATGGCTTTTGCTCTCTCTGTTTCCAAAGCAATTGCTTTCTCAAGCAGGGTTAAGTTACCTTTTGTCATATCAAACACTTCTTCAGACCTATCTGAAGTAATAGAGGTGGTATCATCGTCTCTTTCATGACAACCATCCTCCTTTGCACAGCTAGAAAAAGTCCTAGATCTGGGGCTCAACTGTTCTTCAAGCCTCATTAGGTTCATCATATCAGAGTAATTCCGGTCTGGCGTTCTTCCTTGGAAGTCATCTTCTTGCCTGACATGCTGACGAGTGGTCATGTTTTGCTGTTGATTTCTTTCCTGTGGGTTTGTCTCACTGAGTTTCCTAGCCAGATCAAAACACTGGTTCCTTAAGCACTCCAAACTGCTGAGACACACCTCTTCATCACTCTCCTCCACCATTTTTTCCGTAAGTCCATTGTTCACAGGCTTCCCTAGCATTACAAAGTTCATATTCCTATTATCTTGCTGTGAAGTATTGTCTGCATAATTTCTGTCATTAATGTTTTCTGAAAGCACTACACCATGTCCTTGTGCTAATAATTTAAGGGAGTCCACTGTTTCCCTAACAACATCACTGTCTAAATCTAAACTCAGCTCACTTTTTCGACCAATATTTTCATTTTTGTCACTATCGTCTTCCAGACTATTAGATGTATTGCTGTTCATTTCTGATTCTGTCCTGGCTCTGTATGCTGCATCCTCTGCAATTTTGCCAAGATTTAACAATGACTTGGCCACCAGTTCATCGTAATTATCATACTCATCATTATTGTTATCGTCTTTTTCTGTGTCTTGCATTATTCGAGTATTGTGACAATTCATTTGATGGTCTTCTGCATAAAAAACAGAAACAAAGAAAGAAACAAAGAAAGAAAGAAAAAGGAAAAGAAAAGAAAAAAGTGGCTACAATTGGAACTGTTGTTGCAATCGCACGGACAGAAAACAAACTGCATGTCAAATACTGTTAATCATACAGCAATTCTGTAACACTAAGGCCCATGTAAAGTGAATTTCTCTATAGTCCACAAGGCTATTTTTGTTTATTTGCTATTCACATGAATTTCTTTCACAGAACCAATAAGAAAAAGGCAATCAAAATGCTAATTACTATTACTGCTAAATATTATGGCATAAATACTTATGCTTCTCCTTTCACTTCTATATTTACAGTTTATGGAGTTTATTACAATCATATTACTAATATGACATAATTGCCTAGGTTTCCAATTTTTCTCAGTCTTGTGTTTGTTGTAAATATGGTAGATGGCAAAGGAGCGAGTACTACTGGATTTGTTCTTACTGATGAACGCCACTCACCAAAAGAGAAAGAATACACACCAAACAGGAAATTGTCACTTTTTAACACCAGACACACCATTAATGCTAAATTACCAACTATACGCAAAGATCAAAATAGCATTTTACTTAGTGGATCCATCAGTAGAAATAAAAATGTCTCAGTTTAACTATGCAAACTGTGGAGAAGAATTTTAAAAACTGTTACATGAGAGGAACATACAAGCAATTATATGCACAATGTAATTTTAAGTAAATAAGCTAGCCCAATTTATATGGTCATACATGTATGATAGGGCTGCTATCTACTGTCCTGTGTATTGTAAAATAATTGTGCAGAGTTACCACATTTTACTTAGCTTTGTTTTAGTAAATGTTGAATAATAGAGGGACAAATTAATGAGATGGAGTCAATGCGAGGCCCTGAGGGTGAGATTCATCTCACCTAACTTTAGATATGAGCAAGGCAGGTATCTATATCTGAGTAATTTATTTGATGTTCGAAATCCTTGTAAGAGAAGCAGACACTTTAAGGATACAATGCACCTGATCTGGTTAAGATACCTTCTTGAGAATAAAAATAATTACTACTAGAGGTGTCTGTTTCTCTTCATAGACAACCAAGGGACTCAGATGAGATGCCCGCCTTAAAGATATCCACATTTGGTCAGATGAGTATCATCCAGAGAGCATTTTCTGATATTTCATGTTCACTCAGAAGTTATGTCACTCTTAGACCCATTCTTAAAACACATATACATTCATCATTATTTACTAATGAACATCTCATAAATTATATTTTGATAATTGGCTACTCAAGCAATATTTAAATGTTTTGCATCACAACTGGAAAAGAAAGTTCCTAACTCTGCCATTCCATTGACATGCTAGGCCAGTTTATCAGCTGGTGCAAACTGAGAGAAACCAGTAAAGCTGTGACAATTAACACCTGCTCAAGAGCTAGTCCATCAACTTCTGATAGCATCGTTTCAGCTCAGATGTATTTTCAACACTGGTGCACCTAAAACGCAGCATTTTCTAAAGTGTGACTTCTATGCTTTGGGTTAAACAAACCAAAGAGGGGAAACTGCAGGTAGTAGGTGGCTTGTACACTAACATTTTGATGATAGGAAGCCATTTTTTATAAAAATAACTCTATGTCAGTGGACAAGGTAATAAATCAGAGTTTCAAATACAAAGCTCAACAGCACAATAATTAATATTTCAGCCACAAGATAGTACTCCTTTTACACAGTGGTTAGGGATCCTGGGATGATAGTAGGCTGTAGTTAAGCAGCAGAACTCATAGATGACTAGGCTAGGTCTAGGGAAAAGAAAAACGCTCTAAAAGTAAAATATTATATCATATATATTATCTACTTGAATACAGTGGGAAGATAATTAATAGGGGAGAATGTACAGTATTTTTACATGAAAAGATATTCCAAGTCAATAGTGGGTTAGCTATCTATCATCAAAGGTGGTTTTATTTTAGTTGCTGTTGTTGTCAAGATAATCTTAATTCACATGTATGTTTCAGTCCCTCAAAAATTAAGTATATCAGAGTATCAGATTTTCAGTGTAAAGGTAAGGGAAGTCACTTACACTTCTTATTTGAAAAATTTCCATCTTGAATGACTGTATAGAAGTAGGAAGTTAAGGATTAATGGATAATTAGTTTGTGCTATTTGAAAAGCAAATGTTTTAATACACTAATGATCATTTTGTAAAGTGAAATGTACAACAAATGTCACATTAATTTAAATATTAAGGATAAAACCTGATGCCAAGAAGACTATTCAGTAGAAACCGCTGCTTTTGTGAGGTGCTTCTTGTAACTACATCAGATGGACAGTCAGATGTAGCAAAAGAAACATCAAAGTCATTAGAGAAGCAGTGAGCTATGGCTCCAAAATTGCCAGTGCCTTCAAGTTTAGGATATCTACACACACTGGTGAAATTAGTTCAAATCTAGCTATAACAGGATACTGAAATAAAAAGCAGGAAAAAAGCATATTTTCTAAAGCCATCCAGAGGACTGTTCAGGTACACAGCAACTATTATAGGGCAATTTTTGAAATGCGAAATGTTTCAGGGTTTGTTTTTTTAAAAAGGGCCTTTGTGTTTGTTTTTACATGAATGGGAGTCATGTAAATGATCACTAATGGGAGGAAGATGTTATACTTTGCCTCCACAACAGTGAAAAGTCAAAATATGAATCACGTACTGTATGAGTGAAGACATGTAAATTCCTTTTGAGAAGGTGAAGCTGGGTGAAAGCTGTAACTATAATATTTTTTATTCTGTTTGTTTGGTTATATCCTTTTCAGTTCTCCTGCCCGTTCAATCCTAAAAAGAAGAAGAGAAAAAGGTGGTGGAGGAGAAGAAAGTGTAAAGCATGAATTCCAGATGAGAGAGGCAGGAAAACATATTTTAATCAAGTTTCATTCCTTTTCTTTTAATTTTTGGCCTTTTCTCACATCTACTTTCTTTGACAACTATCTTGCTCATGTTTCTTATCTCCATTCAGCAGTTAATTTTAATGGAAAGGATATTTATGTATACTATGTCATCTTAATAGCAGCCTGTTGGACACTGAGCCTGCTCTAGTGAAGCAACTGTGTCACCTGTTTATTAAACTGGAATTTTAAATACTGCATTACTTTGTGTCTTAGTTAAGGGTCTTCTGGAAAGTACATTAGCCCAGCAGCTCTGTGTGAACCTGTGTACCTTTTCTTTGATTCAGCCCTGTGAAATCTAATCTTGCTTTCATTTCACATTTCTATGATTCCTCAGATTTAACATTTAGCTTGGTAACTACCTTTACACTGTGCTGTTTAATGGCTGTTTGTTAAATGTCTGCAAAGCATATAGGACTAAAACACCTACTCTACCCTTTACATAAGTTTTGTAACCATTGACTCAAATTGCAGTTTTTTATTTGGCGAAGAGGCTGAGTTTGTCTCAAAAAGACACAAGTTTGCCAGTTTAGGTGAAGAGCACACAATGTTATCATATATACTTTTTCTGTTAGCTTTAGGGTTGCATGGACAAGGAGTGTGCAACACAGTTTAAAAAGATTACCAGATTATTTTAGCCCTCATCCACACAATACTATGACAATTTAGATATTCTCAATTGTATTTTTTTTTCCTTTTAACTCCCAGCTGATATAACAAAAGACAGGAGGAAATCATAATGGACAGTACATGGAATAGCTATAATGAGCTGGAAGCCTTTAGCCATCTCAACAGAAGAGCACTCTTGTATTGCACTAAAAAAGTGAACAATTTGACTTCTTATTGCAGCTTTCATCCAAGGATCTCAAAGCACTTTACAAACATTATTTTTTAAAGCCTCACAACACCCCTGTGAGGTAGGTATTTTAATGCCATTTTACAGATGGGAAATTGAGACACAGAGAAGTTGAGTGACTTTTTCCATGTCATACCAGGAGTCACTGCAGCATAAGAACTACAGCCTCTACGTCCTTGATTGTTTCCTCCTTTTGCTCCTACCACATCCATATTTTAAAAAAAATTTTGGCAGAAGAAATGGTTTGCTGTTCTAGTGTAGAGAGTCATGCAAAACAGCACCTTCTTTTTGAAAAGGAAAATACACAGCATTTAATTTGAGAGATTCTGCAGAGAGAGGCAATGATACTTCAGTAATAGCACCTGCATTCCTACCAAAGGCCAAAGACATCAGGAACAAGATTTCCAAATCTGTGGTCCATGTATCAAGCTACTCACTTTCTCCCCAGCACAGGAAAACATGATGGCTAACAAGCTGAACTTTCATGTGGTCATCAGGCTTCCTGTTCAGATGGATGGTTTCATTATCCAGGTAACATCGCCTGTTTTAAAACACCTCACTGGTCTTGCTTCTGCCACTTGCCAGTTCCTAAGTGCCCAGCATATGATTCTCTTGCATCAACATTTTTCTCCCTCTACACTGTAAAGAGAGGTGCATGCATCTCTACATTACCATCTCTGATAGCTGGCTTATGAGAAATATTTAGAAAGACAGTGTTGGTAGAATGAATGAATCCCAAATCTTAGAAATTTACAGCATTGTATTGGGAAGGGTGTTGTTTGTACATTGTATTCTCCTCTAGGAAAATCTTGCAAGTAAGGAAATTGAAAAGGTGGAAAACTTAGTGAGCTCTCAACAACTTCTCCACCCCAAACTGAAGAAACAGAGTATACATGCCACTCTCTAAGGACTTAAGCAAGGTCTCTAGAAGTCTGAACAATTTTGTTAACATGGGATTTGGATCAGGGCCCAAGCCTTCAAATATGGCTATTTCAGGGATGCACTGAACACTGAAGTTGACCATATGCAATTCTTTCATTTCTGCAAAAATTTCCTGAAGTTCTTTTACACTGTAAGTACTTTAGGTAAAGACCCAAGCAATTTTTATAGTAGCTGATTCCTTTATGGGCCTTAAATTACCTAATGAAAGTCAAAAGAAAAAGAGAACTGTTCATTGTTTACTTGATGCACTAATTATTCCATTATATCTATTTTTTTCACT